AGGGAAAAAATTTATTTATAGAAAATATTTTAATTTTGTTTTATTATATAGTTTTCACATTTTCACCTATTCATTTAATCAAACAAATAGTCATGTCCTAATAGGCTAAATTGCAATTTTTATCATGTTGGTTTGATCCAGTGACGTTTTTAATTCTAAAAATTAAACATTTTTGTTGTTCGGTTCTATGATTTTAAAATTCAATGCAATTTTAGTCCTTTAGGACTGAAAATACAACAAAACTTAAAATTACATGACTTAAGTTGCTTATAAAAAATTTTTTGAATGAATTTTTTTTATTAGCAATTTATGTTCTGTAATTATAAATTTTGTTGCAATTTCAGTCCAAAATGACTGAAATTGTAGCAAAATACTAAATTACAAAATCAAAAAATAAAAAATTAAAATCTTGAGACTAAAAATACTACAGCGTTAAACCAGCAGAACTAAAAATACAATTTTTGTCGTCCTACTACCACGTAATTTCAGTTAAAAGTGTTCACAAATTTTATTTATCTATTTATTAACGTATTATATATTATTATTATTATTATTATTTTACAGCAGTAAACCACTCTCCCCCCATCTCATCTCCACGTCCCTTTCAAGTCCCTACACAGCACAGAGATTTCTCAACTTCTCTTAACCTTCCCATGTTTTCAAAGAACCCACCAGTAATGGCGCTGTGTGGGTACCAATAACTCTGTTTCCTTTACTTTAGGAGCAAAATTTCATAAATGTCCGATAAAGTGAGCACCACAAGCTCTTGCTTGCCCACATCTCAGGCCCACCTCATGGTGAGTAAAAACCCTACTCGGGCCCTGGCTACTTTCGCATTTTACCTTTATGTTTTACCTTTTTTTTTTTTTCTCTTTTGTTTGTTGGTATAGGTTCCCTTTGTTGTTTCTTGCTATTTTGTTTTTAAATTTCTTATATTTTATTTTTATTTTTTATTTTTTTTTATGCTCTGCTAATCGTTTCGTGGGTTATGTATGAATTTGTGATTTGTTGCTGCCGATGAATTTCTTCAGTTTTTGGGTGTATGTGTGTGTGTGTGTGTGTGTGTGATTGTACTGTGCTAATATTTTTGTGTGTGAGGGCAAAATGGTGAAACGGGTTTTCAGGTGGGTTCTTTGAAAAGTCAATTATCTTCATGAAATTGAGTATTTTTTTTTTTTGTTTATTTAGACTTGAAAGTAACTTAAAAAGATGATTTTTTTATAGGGAAATGCTACCGTTCCATTACGGTACCATCCCGTCAGATGTTTTAACCGTTGGATCATCGATCTTATCTAACTACACGTAGATCTAACGGGTAAAACAACCGACGGGATGGGACCGTAACGGGACCGTAGCATCTCCCTTTTTTATATATATATTTAATAGGAAATAAAGTTAGCATTTTTGTTTATCTGTATCTTTTTTTTTTTTGGTGAGGGACAAAGGGGGTTGGTTGGAAAATCATTCATTGTGGAGATCAACCTAAGATTTTTGTCCTAAATGATTTGGGAAATAAAAATCTATGATAAAAGGAATGTTAGGTTGAACCATTGAAGGGTTAAGTAGCTCTTATCACATAGCACACAATGTTTTTAAATGCTCTTAAAGTGCAGGGTGAGTGTTTTTATGTGAAGCAATTCATGTATGTTTTTTTCAATTGGAACCTTGATGATGGTCCCAGTATGCCCTGGCTGTTTTTAAATAAATAACTCATCAAGAACTAAAGTTACTTTTGATGTTTGGTGTACATTGATAATATATTAATATTCTAAACAATGTCTTTGCTCCTCATGAGTCTCATGTCAATAATTTAAAGGCTTGTTATTGCCACGTGCATTTCATTGGTTGGTCAGGGTAAAAGAATTTAATGTATTATGATGTCCCTCAGCATCTGTTGATACATGTGCATGCATGGTTTTGTTTTGGTCAAATGTGTCTTCCTTATTTCCCACAATCAGAATCTCCCCTTTGGAAAACTTGAATCTAGTTTTAAAAAAGAGCCATGGGGAAAATTTGAGCCGCTTGACATTCACTAGCTATGTGAATTTTTAGGTAATGATATATAAGTGCTGAGTTCAGGATGCATGTCATTAATTTATCGACGTACGCATTGAATTTGCTTTCTGTATAAACAGCGCGTCAGCTATCTGCTGGTTATTTTGCCATGTCAAGACCAATTTTAATCTTTTAGTTTAGTGTGTCGAAAGGTAAATTAGCACTCGGTCCGACTACTAGATGTTTGCTTGATTTAACATTGATCTTTCAGTCGTTGATTGCTGCATGTCTGTTATTCTTCCATTATATCTTGTCCAGCTCTCAACGCGAAAAAACATCATCAGACTATGCTACACTTTTAGAGTAAGACTTGTTAGTTGTCGCTTCAGATACTCCATCGATTAAAATGGTTGAGTTCCTTAGTTCTCAATATTGATGCTTTTGACCAACCCTATAGTGCTTCATCACTTGATTTGTGCATCCTTTCCTGTTTATTGTTTGTTGATGCTGTGGCAATGTGAAATCATCTCTCTAGAAACCTGTAAACTGGTAGTATTTTGTTGTTTTATAATTTTCGGAAAGTATCTCTCCTTGCTGCATACTCTAATTTGTTACCTACTTACCATATATTTGTTACCGCATGATGGATAGAATCTGTAACAGTTAGAAATTTGACGCCCAATATTTCTGTTTTCAGGATTGTTGCGATATATGTGGGGCCACTGGTGTCGCTGAAGCAATAATTACTTGCTCCCAATGTAAAACAAATTGTGAGCATTTGTAAGTACCCCACATTTCTCTCTCATTCACACACTAGCTTGTTGTCTCTGTTTGTGAATGAATATTTTGCTTTTATGTTTTGGTTGGCTGAGTTTGGAAAGGAAAAACATGCAAAAAGCACTAAAATCACTCTTTGCAGCCTTTCTGATTTTTGAGTTTGTGATTTAAGGTATTGCATGAGAGTCCGTATTGAGGAGCACTTTGATGAGTGGCAATGTGGAGAATGTGAATCTAACTCGAAACAAAAGCCAGTAACCAACTCTTTGAGGGAACAAAAGATTGATGAGCTTCTTTTAGAGAGCCAGAAATTGCTTAACGAGTCGAGGAGCCGTCCGTTTCCTTGGGAAAAAAGGGTTGCGACGGGGAAAACTAAGTACCTCAGTGCTGAAGAAGCTATGGAGCTCTCATCAGGGCAGAATAAGTCGTTGGCCTCTGCTAGTGTTCGACACATGAAAAACTCAAGAAATGAGAGGACACCTGTCAAGCCTAGGACTGTACCACGAGGTTTCTCACCAAAAGAGGGTCCTGCTTTGGGACACTTGGCACAATCAAATCCTCAAAGACCTGGAAATGCGGAGGTTCACGAGAAAGGTCGGAAAAAGTTCAAGATGCTCGCAGGTTATTAATTTTTCAGCATTAAGCTATTATTATGTTCGCATGTTTTCTGAAGTGCATAGGTCATTTCTGTTAGAGAATCTGTTGAATTTGATGGTTAATGTGGTGGAATAGAATGGATAAATTGGGGGCGGATTGGTGGAATGAATTGTGGAATATGACATACGAGGATGGAATGAATATTTGCCGGAACAGAAAGAAAAACGAAACTGTGAAGAAAAAAAGTGTGAGGGCTTTGCATAAGGTTCTATGGGGCATGTGGAACTATAATAGGGTTTGGGCATTGTTGTTTATACTTTTCATTTTTTTAAGACCTTTATTAACTTTGTTGAACATTTATTTTGGTCTTGTTTTCCTAAAGAACAGAAGATGTGCAAGGACTTTGTCGCTTTACCTTTTCACTGATGGGCCTGTTATGTTGGGGAAAAGAGTGTGTGAAACTTTTTTCAACACTTGTTACAAATTTAGAAGAATGGGCCGTGGGGTTTCATAGTATTCCATAAACAGAAATTTGTATTTGCATAACTTATTATCTCTACAGATCTTCTTTTGAATTATTCCATTGTGCTACCGTGGCTCCCAATCTGCGTCAGTCAATTCGTTAGTTCACTTTGCTTCTCAGGACCCCATTTAACAACTTCTTATATGCAAAATTGTTGGATTGCAATGTTATGCATCTTCAAAAGCATACTCTAGTCAAGCGTTTGACGAGAAATACATTTCTTTTCTTTTCTTTTCTTTTAGAAAATGAATTGTGATATTATGAGCCTAATGTCAATGTTCCATTTTGTTGCTTGTGGCTAGAAAATCTTTAGTGCGTGACTGTGAGTCTTTAGTTTATCATCTTTCCATATACAAAATGCTAAGGTATTTATTGATTTCTTCTGTTTAATCTGCTTTCTTCAATATGATTATTTTCAGAATTGCATAGACCAGTGAGCAACGTCAACCCTTCTCAAGCCCCTACAAACAAACAGATGAAAGAGCAAAGGCCAAGAGAAGTTCAATCGCCTCAAGCAAAGGCGAAAATATTAATGAAACCGCCCTCATCTCGGCTACCACCACCGCCACCTCAGCCACCACCACTGCCACCTCAGCTACCTCCACCGCCACCTCAGCTACCTCCGCCACCTCCTCCACCACCACCGCCACCTCTATTTCCTCCACCACCATCGCCACCTCTATTTCCTCCACCACAGTCTAATGCCTCAATGTATAACATTTCAGGCAAGAACAATATTCATTGATTGCTTCATGAACTTGCTTGCTTCCTTTTATACATTTTTTTCGGATTGTTGCATTGATTATTTATTAATAAGAATTGGTGGGACTTGGAAGTATAAAGATTTTGCCTTTGCGTAGCATGTAAAATAATCTTATTTTCAGGCGGTACTGGTGTCACAACCATTCAACCGAGGACTTCTAATGCAGAGAATGTCAATAACAATATTTTGCCTGATTTACGCGAATGTTCATGCTCTCCTGCTTTGGATGCTTTGTGGAAGTAAGTTTTCTAATCTTTGTAAGAGACTTCTTGTCTGTTTGGATCTTCTTTACTTGTATGTGCTATTTTCTTGCACATTGAAGCGTGAACAAATAATCTTGTTATAGTTTTGCCCTGAAAAGGGCTGAAACAGGAATAGTTGATTGAATTTATGGGCCTTGCTGTTAAGTTGTGGTTTTCGTTGTAAGTGCCAAAAATATGCAAATCTTTGGGTCCCACATGGAAATCGTTTGATAACGTTTTATATTTTCAGCTTCCTAGACACTGTCAGCCTGGAAAATTTTGAACACCAGAACCATTATATTTTGCAGACAAATGGTCAATGTATTTTTGGGTCTGATTCATATATCCTTATGTTACTGAACTATACCACTAATATTAATTTTTATTTTTTGATCACCAGGGGGAACTTCAGCATAGTGGATGATCATAGACATTGCAAACTGAATTATCAAATCCGAGCCCATCCGCCTTCCAAAGTTCGACGAAAGATCTATGAATTCTCGAAGAAAATGCCTGAAGTGCTCCAGTTTGAGCTGGTTCCAATCAAAGAACTCTGGATCAATTTATTCAAGGGGTTTATACCAGATGAAAAGGATATTGGACTATATTTCTTTCCCAGTGCTGGAGAGAGGTATGCTTATGTTCCCCCAAAATTTCCTTGCTAGTTTCTGTTTCCAAGTTGTCAATTTGCCGATTTTCCTTTTACTCTTTGCAGACCTGAGGACTACGTCATCCTACTGGAGTCCATTAGTGCTAAAAACTTGGCATTAAGGAAACAAATAGCTGATGTTGAGCTCCTTATATTCACCTCCAAACTATTGCCAGTCAATTGTCAATGTGAGATCTTTCATCCCTTAATAACTGTGAATCATATATAAATCCTTGTATAACGCTGATAAATTAATTCGATCAATTTACCTTCGTCGCGTATTACACGTTTTAAGGTTTTAGCTGGATAAATGTTACATTCTTGTACAAATACAAATTTAAAATTGGCTGCAATATTTGTACCTGTACTTTAGTCCATGATCTTTTTGAATGTTGCAGTTCTGCCACAAAGTAAATTTGGTCTCAACGGAAAACTAATATACTGAAGGCTGTTGTGTAATACCATAATAAAAGTTCATTTCTGGTTTAAACTTCATGAAATTTGTCTTTTCTGGATGTTTTTACAGGCTGGGAGGGAAAGAACTTCCTGTGGGGCATTTTTCATCGACTGAAAAAAGACTCGACCACTCGGCTGCAAAATCAGGCGGGTGACAACAAAGAGGTCGACATGGACATCGACATGATCGGCGGCATTCATGTCGGGATGAAGGACGTTCTCGTCCAAAGGGAACCTCTCAGAAACAGACGACTTGTCTTCAACATGGAATCGGCGGACCCCACACCACGGCCGGAGCCCGATAAACCGATAAGTTCTGTATCGGGATGCGGTTATGATCGGTGGATGGGAGCTCGTTTGGTTGACGTGAAGATAAAGAGTGAAGATGATGCTGTGCCTCCTGGATTTGAGGAGGTGTATAGGATGAGAATCGAGGGGTCGTCAGATGGGGCCTCGGAAGGGGAGAAGAGAAAAGCTGGTGGTGGCAATCGCCTCAGTTGTGTTCCTCGCTCGTTTGGTGGGAAGGGGAGTTCGGACAACTTGTGAATTTTGTGATTAGTTGGAGAGGTTTATCGATGGGTTGGTGAAGAGCAATGATTTGATTTTGATATGGCTAATATGCTTGAGTTCATGTACAAATGGAGACTCAAGATTGTGGCAGGTAGTTTGCTGTTTTTGTTCATTGCTAAGCAAAGATATTGGTTGGTAAGATCATTGTTGACCCATTTACTTGCTCACTTGTTAATAAAATTCTGGTGTTGGCTTTAGTAATACTAGGAAGATGCACGTGCTACGTGATATTAATTTTTTTTATTTTCTGAACTTTTGTATCAGTCTCGCATTCAATCAACAATAATAATTAATAAACAAAAAATTACAATAACAAAAGAGATCACAAGCGATAGTTCACTATGTGTTCGTTGGAACAATTCAAGCATGAGTAAGAGGAAAAAGAGAGACAAAACCTACGAAACTATAGTTACAAGATATTTTGTGTTCCCGAGCTCTTCGAATTGGTTCCAGGGTGCCAGACAGCGCTGTCGGGTGCGAGCCCAGCGCGACGGCCCTCGGCTGACCTAAAAACTCCCAGTTCATGTTCCTCATACTTCGCACGATGCGTGGGGGTTATTCAGGTGAATTTTTGGCCCTAATTCGCCGATGGTTCTGAAATAAAATATCCATCAAAGCAACATTTTTACAAAAACGAAACATGAAAGTATACGAAAATAGTCGAAATTATAAAAATAACACCGAAAACACACAAACGAGCAAAACCAACCTAATAGATCGAAATACTAAAAAAATATCTCAAATAAACTAAATAAAAAATTATAAAAACATATAAAAATACCAACATAAACATACACAAAATTCACCCCTACTTGAGCTAATGAAACATTGGAGGTGTATTTAGTTAGAATTTTTAAAGATTTTTTAAGATTTTAGGAGGTGATTGTTTATCAATTCACCAAAAAAAAAAAAAAAAAAAAAAAAAAAATCAATCAAAACTCAAATTTAAATCAACTGTAACTCAACTCTCTCTAATATTATCAATATAATTAAATAATATCAACCAATTAATTAATTAATCATTCTTACACATCACATCAACTTTAATTCAATATTCATCCACTCACATAATTTTAAGTAACCACCACTTCCAATCATTTTTCTCTTACTTTTACATTATATCAACTTCAATTATTTTATTTTAAATATTATTTTAATATATCCACTAACAACTAACCATACCAACTTTTTTCAAAATTAACTATAGTTAAAAAAAAAAAGAACAATTAATTTTTAGATGAATTCATAAACAATCACCCCCTTAGAAATCTTGGAGTATTCAATTTATAGATTTGTTAAGACTTTTAAAAGTCTTGGGGTTATTCAATTGGTATATTAGAAAACCTCATAAAATCATTATGTATTTAACTTATCTATACTTATATTATAAGCAAACCTATTTACTAAATTCAGTATGTTGAATAGTCAATATTAATTAATGACTTTCTAATCTTATCAAGTGCATTAATTACGTATAGTTTGGTAAAAAAAAATCTGATAAAATCAAGAAATAAAACGTGTATAGTAAGATTTGATCACAAATGCTTTCTTATCTTTTTTCCAATTTGGACGTGTATTTTTTTTATTTCAGATTTTTTTGTTTCTAAAATTCCATATTATTAAGGAAATAAATCACGCATTTGATCACAAATCTTTTCTTATCTTTTTTCCAATTTGGACGTGTATTTTTTTTATCTCAAATTTTTTTGTTTCCAAAATTCCATATTATTAAGGAAATAAATCACGCTCTCTCTTTCACAAATAAAAACAAATTTACAACTAATATAACTAACACATCTCATAGTATTATGCAAGAAATAATTTATAATTATATTTATTTATAAAAGATGATAAGAATAGTTCAACATACTTATCTCACTGGCAAATGAAAAGATATTTCACGTTTTAAAATGTTATACTCCTCAAATAAATAGTTTCCGTGCCTCGCACAGGTCACGTACTATATATACCGTACATTTTTTTATTCATTTATATAATTACAAGACTAGATATATGACCTTAAAACTGTACACCTCGTGCATCGCACGGGATCTGTACTAGTTTGAGACTAAAACTCGTTAAAACTTTGTAAGATTTGGTGGGATTTTAAAAAAAAAAAAAATTATACGAAATCCTACTTCAAATCACACTTCCAATCTTTAGAATTTTTCCAAAATCTCAATATCTAACAAATCTCATATTTTTAAAAGTCTCAAAATGTCCCTTTAAATTCCAATTGAATATAGCTTGGCATTCAAATCGAAATTCACTCAAAGTCGAAGCTAGAGCTCAACATCAACTCCAATGAGGGAATTATTCTCCCTTTTGGGAACCCTAATTCTCCTGCTGGGAACTCCAATTCTCTCGTATGAGATCTTCTATATCAACTCTCCTATATCCAGTTAAAATCGACGTTTTGTTTTCTTCTCTCTATCTATTCCTGAATGGCATCCCCAAGCAAGCTTAATTCGGGACTCAACGCGGCTGAAATTCTTGAACGGCAGTTGCAGAAAATCTCACTTTCTGAAGCGGAACATTCAACTGTTGACATTGCACAGGATGACATACTCCTTAGTAAGGACGAATGCAAAAGGAGCCTATTTGGTAAAATTGTAGGGGATCGCAAAGCCAGTCTCTTCGGCATCAAACGAACTACGGGACATATTTGGAAGATCCAAGGCGTAGTTGAAATCAGGGAGCTGGAGGTTAATTTTTTTCAATTCATCTTTGAATTCGAAGAAGACCTGAAGAAGGTAGTCTCTGGTACCAATTGGATAATTGACAACCAATACCTTATCTTACAAGAATGGCAACCCAATATTAGCAGCGCCCACCCCAATTTTGGCATCCTTAAGCTTTGGGTTCATATCTATAATATCCCTCTTCACTGGCAATCTATAGAAGTAGGGCTTAAGATTGACAAACTCTTCAAAGGGGCTTCGAATGTCACTCTCTCAACCGTAGGTGATATTGGAGGATGCCGGGTAGTGCGAATTCTGGCAGCAATCGACGTCAAAGAGCCTTTCCTTCGATGTGCTAATGTTAGACTGGGGGATCAAGTCTTCAAAATCAGCTTCAAATACGAAAAGCTTGTCAATCTTTGTTTCTATTGTGGCAAGCTGGGTCATTTGGACAGGGATTGCTCTAAGAAGGTCGAGGATATTGCCAGCAACTCTCTTCTAACAGGACAATATGGTGAATGGCTAAAGGCAAGTGATGGCCATCAAAATTTTTTCTTTCAACAGAGCAGCCCCTCAGGCTCAATGGGCTTCAAACACACCAGTCAACCCCCCAAATCCAATTCCTCAGCTACTGAAGCAGGATTTGACAGCCAGCTCAAAAAGAAAATGGATTCTGCAGTTGCTGTTAACCTCTCCAACCTATTTGAAGTTGCAGTTAAATCTCACGCTGAACTCATTCACAACCCTCTCTCTCCAGAAGGCTCATCACACATTCTTCTCAGCTCCCAGAGATCCCCACCCCAGATCCCAGTACCGGTTGAGAATACTCTCTCTCAAGAGGCTATCACGGGTAAAGAAATTGTTGTTTCACAAATGGTCATTCCAAATAGCACGGATTTACCAGTGGATGTCACCATGTCTGCTGATGGAGAAGAAGATTCACCTGGGCCAGCTAAGAAATCTCCTATTGTTAAAAAATGGAAAAGATCAATTCCACAGTGTAAAGCTCAGACTAGTAAGATGGAGCCAGCTATTCAGTCCATTAACCACAATCAGAAGAGAAGTAGACTGGAATGCTCCACTCAACCGTCCTCTTCCCAATCTTTGAGCAAGGTGGATGATCACCCCACTCCAAATATGAAGAAACAGAAATCTGACTCTAAAAAGGTACAGTTGGCCCACCTCAAAGGGCCAACAGGTGAACAATGAGAGTGCTGGTGTGGAATTGTAGAGGTTTGGGTGGACCCTCTACAATTCCCCAGCTAAAGGAGTCCATTAGGACCCACTGCCCTGCTTTTTCTTTTATTTCTGAAACCAAGAAAAAATCAGATTTTGTAAATACAATTTGCTTTAATTTGCATATGGATGACAGATGGAAAGTGGTCAACCCAGTAGGTTCAGCAGGTGGTTTGCTCTTGATGTGGAGTAAAGATGTTATTATTCACCAAATCCTCAGCCATGATTTCTGTATGGAAGTGGAATTCTCCTCTGATCAAAATCCCATCCCAACCTGGATCATTTTTGTTTATATGAGTTCTGTCAAATCTACCAGGCTCTTTCAATGGAATCTTCTTAAGAATATGCAACCAAAATGGGGATCTTCCTGGTTATGTGCAGGTGATTGGAATGATCTGTGTTGTAAGGAAGAGAAGAAAGGAGGAATCACAAGATCACCTCAAAGTTTGGTAGGATTTAATGATTTTATTTCAGACATGGGGATGATGGAGTTGAATTGGCTCGGATACTCTTTCACATGGGCAAACAATAGGGAGGCTGAGGGATTTGTTGAAGAAAAGTTGGACAGGGCCTTCTGTTCAATGGACTGGTATTCTCAACACCCTAATGCTTCAGTGGAAAACATTCTTAGATCAGCCTCGGATCATAATATGCTTCTCATAACCTCTGACACTACCAGCCTCAATAAGAAGAGCAGATTCAGTTTTGACAAGAGGTGGCTGACCAGGGATGGAGTTAATGATGTGGTATCAAAGGCTTGGTCTCAAGATTGCAGTGGCACCCCTATGTTCAAGGTGAAGGAAAAAATTAAAGCAACCAGGATTGCTCTTTTGCAATGGAGCAAGAACCACAACTCAGCTAATCAGGAGAAAATCAAAACCATCTCTACTGCCTTAGAGGATATGAGGAATGCTAATGGTGACAGAGATTGGGACACTTGGCATTCTCTTACTACCCAACTCAATGCTGCATACAAGATTGAAGAAGCTTATTGGAGACAGAAGTCCAGATTACTGTGGTTGAAGGAAGGAGATAAGAACTCCAAGTTCTTCCATGCTT